AAAGTGGCAAATTCTCTCTCAATAAAGAAAAAAGCCTCTATCAAACAGCCCCACTAAATTAAAAAATGCACTCCAATAGGTCTGCTTTCCCTCCGCAAAGGGCTAGCAAACAAGAAAGGCGTAGCATGCTGTGCACGGCATTGAAATGTCAGATAGCTGCTGACTCCAGTAATTCATCATTGAATTGAAAGCATTACATATGGGAAGAGCAAAAATCTAATTCCAGCTCATTTCAATAAGAATTGATCTAAGGGTTCATTACCTAAAGTAATTTTTACTAACACAACTTTGAACGCATCCTCCAACAAGGGTTAGAATCTCTCCCATGACAGCCGGAGTTGATCAGGGGAAATTTTCATGCAGATAAATGCCGCCTGCTAAGTTGCAGATTCCTTGCGTTCAATTTAACTAAGTTGTTTTTCTGTTTTAATGTTTGCTTAATGTTGGAGAGGAAGGTTGGAGAGGGCTGGGAAAACTGGAGTTAGGGGTTATTTTTAAAAGACATCTAGGGGCCAGGCGCAGTGACTCATGCCTGTAATCCCAGAACTTTCAGAGGCAGAGGCAGGAAGGGTGCTTAAGCCCAGGAATTCAAGACCAGCCTGGGCAACGTAGCAAGACACTGTCTCTAAAAAAAAAAAAAAAAAAAATTAAAATTAAAATTAGTCGGACATGGTGGCATGCACCCTATATAGTCCCAGGAAGGCTGAGGTGGGAGGATTGCTTGAGCCCCAAGGTCAAGGCTCCAGGGAGCTGTGATCATGCCACTGCACCCCAGCCTGGATGACAGAGTGAGATCCTGTCTCAAAAAAGGGGTGAGGGAGGGGATCTAGGATCTCAAATGCAGATTCATTTGTCTCCATGAGCTGTGCAGCCTTAACTGCACTTCTCTAACTCTAGTCCTTCATCTATAAAAACACTTACATTTCATGTGATAATTGAATAAGAAAATGGATGTAAAACACTTCACAGAGGTTAAAGTTCTTGATGAAAGGTAGCTTTTAAAAAGCTCATAAACCGTTTACTAGTTCATGATCTCAAGATATTAATACCTACCTGGCCTGACAGCCTTTAAAAGAGTGAATGAATGTGTGTGGTATGCAATGACTGTTAGTTCCACTCCCCTCCCCTTTGAGTGGGCTTAAGTGAAATCCTCCAAGATCCAAATGTACCAAGGCTTGTGTCTGATTGGCCCCAGCAGTGAGACTCAAACTTTCATCAAGAACCTTAACCTCTGCTAGCTGGACCAAGATACCTGATTCCTTAAGCAAAAGAAACAATTCCTCTATCTCTTTCTTCTTTTTTTCTTTTTGAGATGGAGTCTCACTCTGTCACCCAGGTTGGAGTCCATCGGCTCCATCTTGGCTCACTGCAACCTCCACCTCCTGGATTCAAGCGATTCTCCTGCCTCAGCCTCTCAAGTAGCTGGGATTACAGGTGCATGCCACCACACCCAGCTAATTTTTGTATTTTTAGTAGAGACGGGATTTCGCCATGTTGGCCAGGCTGGTCTCGAATCCCTAACCTCAGGTCATCCACTTGCCTCAGCCTCCCAAAGTGCTGGGATTAAAGGCATAGGCCACCCCACTCGGCCTCCTCTCTTATCAAATAGGTTTTTCTAGGCTCAAAGAACAGACCTCTGGCTAAATTCAGAAGTGCTCAACTTTGAATACTCACTGCGATGATCAGATGAGGGAGTGGGGGGCTTCGAAAAACCCTGTGCCTAAGTTGTACCCAAAGCCAATTAGATTCTCTGGGCATGGGACCCAGATGTATTTTTTAAAGCTCCCAGATGCAATAACAAAAAATAAAATAAAATAACCCAATTAAAAAATGGGCAAAGGACTTGAATAGGCATTTCTCCAAAGATGGTATATAAATGGTTCTATGTTCCTGGAACAGGGGAGCCAAGACAGGATGTGGTGGGAGGTGGGCTAGGAAGATTTAGTCCTCAGAGTTCTGCCACGCACGGGTTTGAGGGCAATGGGGAGGGAGCCTTGGAACGTGTTAAGCAGATGAGTAATCTATTCAGATTGACATTTCTGGAAAATTACTCTCACTACAAAATAAAGAGTAGGTTGGATGGCGTGTGACCAGAGGCAGAAAGACCAGTTAGGAGTCGATGGGTGGACCCAAGGTCAAACGTTTCTAGGACAGTGGTTCTTACACATGCCTGGAAATCTTCTTCAGGGCTTGCTAGAACACAGATTGCCGGGCCCTGCTCCCCGTCTCTTTGATTCAGCAGCTCCGGGCTACAACCAAGAATTCGCATTTCTAACAAGTCCCCAGGCAGTGCAGGTACTGCTGGTCTGGGGACCTGACTTTGAGAACCACTGCTCTAGGTGGTAGTGATGTTAGAAGGGGGGTTCGTTTGGAAAGCAGCTTCACAGTTTTAGGTTGGTGGTTCTAGGTCAAGATTTAATGCTGCCTGCACATTAAATCACCTGGAGAGCCTGGGCCCCACCATTCCCCCTTCACTGATTCATCTGATCTGGGGTAAGGTGTAGGTGTGAGCCCCCAAATGACTCTAGTGTGAAATCGGGGGTGAAAACCAATCCTTGCTGCTCAAAGTGTGGTCCACGGCCCAGCATCTTCAGCACTATCTGGGAATGAATGAGAGCTGCATCCCAGACCCATGGAACCAACCATTCAAACATAATTTTCCAGTGGTTCCTTTGCATGTGAAAGTTTGAGAAGCACGGACGTAAATAGCATCTGGCCTGAAATGGGATTCCAGAAACAGCTGGAAGCACAGGGGAGGTGGAATCCAGCCCCCAAGATGCTAACCTGGACAAGGACTCTGGGGAGAAGAGAGATTCATTCATTTATTCCAATGGACTATATTGACCTTCACTGTGTGCTGGGCATTGTGCCAAGTGCTACAGAAATATGAGGCAGGCACCTGGCCTCAAGGCCAAGAAGACATGACAATAAAAAAATGAAAGGCCAAGAGCTCTCACGCTGAAGCTCTAGAGGTGCTTCTGAACCACGGCCAGGTCAGCAACTCCAACACCAGCTCCCTGAAAGCAAGGACGTCCCCCCGGCACACGACATGCCAAGCACCTGCCAGATTTCCATAAATGTTTGCTGAAAGAATGCCAAATTCGGTGGCATTGGAGGTGGACCTTCCAGGTGGGGAAAAATTACTATGGGCAGAAATGTGCCAGGACTTTGCAAATGGACGGACCCCCCAGGGACAAACCAGGTTATGGCAAAGGCCAGGATGTGTGCGAGGGACCACAGCGCATGGTGCCATTTGGCTGGATCTAGATCTGGTCAGCACTCTTTCTCTGCACAGAGCCAGAGAGTAAACATTTCAGGCCTTGTGGGCCATGCGGTCTCTGTTGAAACAATTTGACTCTGCCCTGACAGTGTGAAAACAGACATAGACAATCAGTAAACACGTGGGTGGCTGGATTCCAATCAAACTATCTACAAAAGCAGGCTGCAAATCAGATTTGGCCCGAAGGCCCCTGATCTAGAACGAGAGGAAAAAGCTGGAGATGAAGCCGCAAAGGTAAATTGGAGGTCGTTAGGAGATCACAGAAGACCTTGGCTACCAAGCAAGGTAGGGCAGACCTTGAATCAGCAGTGGGAAGCTCTGTGTTGGACATCAAAGTGAAAGGGTCAGCTTGGAGAACTCCATCAGACAGAAATGTGTGAGATAAGATCAGGAGCTGGGGGAGGAGAGGTGGGGTCAGGGGGACCTTTAGGAGATTTGGGGTGGTTCCCAGAGTTCTGGACAACCAAGAGCCAGAGCAGTGGCACTCAAAGAGAAAAACTGGGGTGCAAGAGATGCTTTGGTGGCCAAGAGTAGGGAGAGAAAAGGAGGGGTTGGTTGGAAACAGTGCATTTTCTGGTCACTGGGGTGATGAAGAGCATGCTGTAGGCAAAGACAGGGAAGCTGACAGGATCTTGGGGAGTAAGGATCTGGATCTGGAAGCTCAGGGAAAGCATGTTGAACCCAGCGAAATCCGAATCTGAGACAGCATGAGGCCCGCCATCAACTCCCCATCCCCCCACCCTCCCACCCCAGCACACGCAAGCGCAGAGGCAGCTGGAGACAACATTTGAGAAAAGCAAGAGAAAAAGGTTAAAATGCAGGGCTAGACTGGCTGCTGTTGTTCCCAAAGATATAAATCTGAGAGATGGAGCTCACCCCAGGCTGGGGTGAATCCTGGCATTCCGGGGCCAGAAGGAGCTTCAGAGCAGCACTCCTCAAACCTCAATGTGTCGCAAACCCCCTAGAGAGGCTGTTAAGTAAGATTCTGCTGCAGCAAGCTGAACGAGAGGCCCAGACCTTGCAATTCCAACAAGAGCCCAGTGGTGCCGATGCTGCTGGCCCAGGACCACGCTTTGAAAATCGAGACCATGAACTCATTCCTTTAACTTCTGTTGTCACCCAAACAAGGACAGTGAGAATCACTGTGCTACCATTTGTTGAGTGGCTAATACACACTAGGACCTGGAGATACTGAGAAAATAGCAAAAGGAACTAACCTTTGAGCCCTTGCTATGAGCCAGGCACTGCCCTAAGAAACCCCCATCTGTGATTCATCCATTCCTCGAAGGGGAAGGACCCGCCATGAGGCAGGCTTCACAAGTGCCCCCGTTCTCCAGACGATTTAATGGCCTGAGCACAAGGCAGCCACACTGCAGAGCTAGAACTCCATCGTTGCACCCAAAGAGGACAGCAACAGACCACCTAGGCAGGCTATGAGTCCCCCTAATTGAAGCCACCTCTCCGGGAAAATTTAAAACTAAGGCAAGCTCTTCAACTACATTGGACTCAAGGCATCATGAATCTCCTAAGTGAGGTGGGGTGCAGGGATCACGTATCTGCTAGCATCAGGGACACCCACGGGGCCATGTGGCTAGGATTTCACCCACGGACAATTCTTTCACTTTGCTTCTGAGACACTAAAGCACTAAGCCCTTAGAAGAGACACTTCCACGGAGCCCCTGTAATGCAAATAAATACCCCCAAATAAAAGGGAAATAACCTGGTGGAGAATTTTGTAGCTGGTGCGTATTTGATGGGCTTGATTTTCAGAAGCGACTCCCAGCCCCTTCGTCAGGGTCCTGGGGTGCGGTCCCCGCCGGGCGTTGCGACACTACCACCTAGTGGCAATGCGGAGATCTGCTGCGGAAGTCGAAGCGTCCAAAACCCCAAAACAACAGGGGAGGCTGCATTCTGTTAACACCAGTCTGGGCGGTGGCTGTTTTTAGCTGGGTCTCTCCTTCTGTGCCACTTTCATCATGGAAACTGGCTCTCTAGGCCCAAAAAAAGCTGCGACGTGCTCTGCAAAAGCTGTTTGAGGGCCAATTTTAGCTGCATTTCTTGGAATTTGGGCTCCCAGGAGGAAGGAGGCATGTGCGGTTTCAGGAAGCGGTGCATCTTCTTCCTGGAGGCTGTTCTGGCCATGAGATCATGGATCCCTTCGGGTTCTGCACTGCACCCTGCAAAGGAGTATTTGGGTTTTATACGCAGCAGCAACTGTGTCCTGAGAGCTTTACCATGTACTATCAAGAGCTTTCTTTATGTGAATCATGTCATTGATGTTTCCAGATAACCCTACAAAGACATTTAGAATTATGCCCATTATACAGATGAGGAAATCAAGAGTTGGGAAAGTGACTTGGCCAAGGTCATAGAGCTGGTACCTACCAGAGCCATGATTTCAACTCCAGAGTTTGTCCTCTACACCCAGAACCCAAACAAAGTGATGGATCAAGAGTTGAAAGTCCTGGGTTCACCCACACTCTGCTGCCAATTCACTGACTTTGAGCAGGTCATTTAACCTCTCTGGGTCTCATTTTCCTTGATGATGAAACGGGTGTGTTCCTCATAGATCCTGCTTCACAAGGTTGTATGAGGATCCAAGAAGAAATGTGATATCCTTTCATTCAGTGGTTCTGTTTCCTGGCCGGGGGGACATCAGACTCCCAGAGTCTTCCACAGATTCCAGGAGATAGATGGGAAGAGGCCCAGGATCCTGCAATATGAAAGTCTGCTCCATGAGCTGGGGACTGCCATTTGTCTGATTACCGTTGTGCAAAGAGCTTAGTTAACCCCTGGTAGGAAATTGAAGAGATGACCACCTACTATGTGTCAGGCCCTTATGCTATGCGTTGGGGGTGCAAACATAAGTGAGACATAGAGATCATGGCAATGTGGCAGAGACTGACAGGTAGCCATGTGGACCCCTATACATTAAGGACTGTGATGGAATAGACATGGGGTGGAGGAACGGGATATGGAATCATAGAAGGACCCCAACTAGCTTGAGATGATAGGTGCCAGAGAAGCCTTCCTAGAAGATCCGACTCTAGTGGAGCCCACAAAGCTGTTAATCAGGTAAGAAAGGGAAGAAAAGAAGACTCTTGGCCGGGCACGGTGGCTCAAGCCTGTAATCCCAGCACTTTGGGAGGCCGAGACGGGCGGATCACGAGGTCAGGAGATCAAAACCATCCTTGCTAACCCGGTGAAACCCTGTCTCTACTAAAAAATACAAAAAAACTAGCCGGGCGAGGTGGCGGGCGCCTGTAGTCCCAGCTGCTCAGGAGGCTGAGGCAGGAGAATGGCGTGAACCCAGG